ATATATATCCCCCCTCCCCCAGAAACATAAACAACAACGCTTAGCCTGGCGGCGGGGCTAGTAAAGCATGACGGGCCGCCAGGCTTATGATACACTGGGGGAAACCCTGCATTTCATCCTCTCCAGAAAGCTTAGGTGGGGATCTACGCAGACAGTTAAGTGAAAACGGCAAAACTTTGGATGTACTCAAAGCTGGCATCAATCTGAGGATGGTGTGCCTGAGAGCAAGAGATGATCCACATTCAGTCGCTCCACGCCCGGAGGTTAATTCAGCAAATTTAAAGCTTTAAATCTGCCAAAGTGCTGCCACTTTGACAGCGAGAGGGAAACAAAGGCATAGGATTATACCTTCAGGATGGAAAACAACAGAGAGAGGGAGGCAAGGCGAGGAGAGGAGAGACAGGCAGGAAAGGGAAACTGGATAATGATGTCTCCAGACCGTGCCCTGCTGACAATAAGAGGGAAAATTGTTGTGCGCTCCTACTTACTTCTCAATGAGGTCTAACGTCACCCCTGGCACCAACTTGGCACTCTTCTGCATACAGAACCTGGAAGAAAACAGAAGGGAGATGTTACTAATCGAGGTTAAAGAGAAAACAAGAAATGCTATATGACGCAATGAAACGTTTGGCATCAATGGTGCAAATTTTACGGCTCACATGAGAGTCAATCAATAAATAACACTCAAATGAAAAACGAGGGCTGCAAAAATTGCAAGCATCGAGGACTGAGAGGTACGAGTGTATTTTGGCTGAGTTATAGTCGAGAAGGAGGGGACAGTCGGTGGGAAACACGGACTTGTATTTCTGAGACGTCTGCCATGGGGGATATTGTTTACTATGCCTGGTTAGGTCTGACAGGTCGGGCCAGATGTAAGTCACAGCCGGCCGCTGTTCAGAGTCCTGACAGTCGCACAGATCGCTAGGAGTCATCACACACCTGGAGAAGAGCAGGTGTGTGTGCTTTTGTACACAGAGTGAGCAGAGAGCAACTGTGGGAAAGATTACATAAAGGAAAGCAATGGAAAGAGATTCTCATAAATTGTTATAACTTTTATAACGCTAACATGACTGAATATTTTTTAAGAATTATGCAAAATTTACTTAGAGCTTTACATCATGTTATAAGGTAATTCCCTCACGAAACACAAACCTAAAGTGTTGCTTTGACTTATTCAAGCATGTTTGAGATGTCCTTCAATATGATGTGGCAGCCGTTCCGGGGGTCCATAAACGCTTGCTCCCACAAGGGGGCGCCTTTTCCGCAAAGCTGATCGGGCTTCTGCCTCTCATAGCCCTCATTCCCCCATGCAGGATTAGCAAACACCTGGTGAAACTGAGCGTTTGCTGAGCTTATCATACAAACTACAATGCTCCTTTAAACAGTATCATTGGATGGCATGGAGGAGCATTGATGTGACGAGGGGCTAACCAGGGAGTCTCAGAAAAGGTGAGAGATTCTTACAGAGACTAAGATTAATTTCAAGGTGTCAGATATGACTCGCTGTGTTTCCATTGGTCATATAATTGTGCAAATTTGAACTGCTAAAATAAATTTGCTTAATGGGAACGCAGAAATTTTGAAAAGAATGTTTTTCGACAAAGTTTTTACACTAGAATGAGGTGGTTTTTCAGCTGTATGAAAATTTTTGTATTTCACAAAACTACAATGGAAACACTTTTTTCATATTATACGAGTCATGATCAAAGACCAGATGTTACTACTGCCAGAAACGATGAAGAAGATAACAGGAAGTGGGAGGAGGATCATGGTGTGGCATATTCTTTTAATGATTTATTGAATAAACTAACATATTTCTGTATAATTTTAATTGCATTTCTTATTTAATGGAAGCACCGCAATTGAAAATTTCTTTTATTTTTATCAACATTAGCAGAATAGCAACAGATCTTTGCGTGCATTTGTAGTGGAAACACGGCTACTGATGTCAAGTCACATTTCTTTTAAATTGTTTTTGATGTGTACATTATTTTAATGGCATATGAAGACATATAATATAATGATTTTACCCTATAAAATGGCATGATGTGCCTGGAAAATACAAAATACAGCCTCTTTAAACATCAACTTAACAAATGACAGACACTATTAAAAAATGTAAAGGTAAAAAAAATATACAAAAACAATGTCTTTTTCCTTTTCCTTAAAAATATTGAATTAGCATTCAAAAGCCTATAAAAGGATTTTTGATCCAGAAGCTGAAATCATCACATTTTGGTTGCTTACGGTTTACTCCATGTCTGACAAACAGCTGTACAAGTGTGTTTCACAGCAGGGATGATCATCACACACACAAAAAAAAGTCTTCTATTAGAAGAACAGAGCAAATGCCAAATGATTGCTAATACAGTTGGATGAAACTCAAAACAGAACCTTCTGTGGCATCTCAATAGAGAGCAGAAGAAAATTTAAAAAAACCAAACATGTAAATAAGACAAAAAGAAAATAAATTACAAAAAGAAAACATGCAGTCATGTGGAAACGGAAATGCAAAATACATCAATACAATCCAGCTGTGTGATTGTACTGATGTATCTACCCTTAAGACAAAGGGTAGATCACTTCTACAGTAAGTTTTTTTGATCTGAAAATAAAAAAAATCTTCAAAGGAACTGACGGGGGGCAAGAGATATCCGAGGGTGGGTATTGCTTCTATTATAATAGTAGGAGAAACACTGAGTACTTAAAGTCAAAGCTGCATCTTACTTTTATAGACAGCTCTCAGATCCCTAATGATAAATAATTCTTTCATGAGAATGAGTGATTCTAGTTTGCTGAGCAGAATCCGGAGCTGCCATCATCCTCGGACGCATATCTGAATGCCAAACTGACTCACGAATGCCCAAAAACAACGTATCCAGGATCTGATCTACCCTGACTGGCTGTGACGAAGGCTGCTGCACTTGAATTCCTTCTGTTCCTGAAGAATAATGAGTTCCCACATGACAGCAGCACGACTTTCTGACTCTTCAAAGATCAGCCGGGGTCTTGAGTGACTCTGACACTCCTGAAGCCAAGAGTAGGAAAGATGTGATCGCAACAAATTGTTCTACGGTCTCTCTGGTTAAATGCATCTTCATTAAAAGTCACAACATGCACAATCTGGTCTAATAAAAAAAATACCACAGACAAGCAATATCAATTCCCACAAACGTACGTCTATAATCTTTTTGCCACAGGGATATTATAGCTCAAGATTAAGGGCTTTATTTATGCTTTTGTATGTTTTGGTGCAAAACGAAATCAATAAGTCTCCACACATAAACAACAGATGATTGAGAATTAAGACAGGACAAAAATAGACAGGCTGACGTTACAAACCACAAAAAGGTTTCGTCAGGGAGTTGGAATCAAATTTCTGTGCAGCGAGACGTCAGAACCTTTCCACCAAAGACGACAGGAGAGAAAAAGAAAAGAAAAAAAGAGGAACCCAGGATGGGAGGTAAGACGCAATCGGTGGCATTTCATCCATTCATAGCATACCATAATTTTGATCCAGAAGCTGACTTTATCCCGGCTTTATGAAAAGCCATGTTTGTCCTCACCTACGATCAAAAACAGCCTCTGACATTCTAGGCACGCGCTATGATCAGAGCAAAGTCATTCAACTTGGCTGTTTGAGCTTCAGCTCTGCTGTCTTTGCTCTGCGATATCAAAATTAGAAGAAAAAAAAAAACAATTCGGCACAATGTGGTTATAGCATTTAGTTATGAGATTCAGGAATTAAAAAGAAGCACAAACAGAGGAACACAGTGAGTGAAAATGTTGCTTAACAACAGCTACAAAAGACATCATATAGTCCATAAAACTGAAGGGAAATTTCACAAATATTTTCTAAAGTAGCTCAACTAAACTGTTGACATGTATAAAAAGGTGCAACAAGTGAGGGAGCCTTTCAAATATCTCATACCTTCTACTACATTGTATTGAAAAGTTGTGGGTTTTTGAATAAATGCAACTCGCCTTGAAGCCACATCCACTCAAGCATCTAATTAAATTAGCATTTATTAAAAGTCCTCGGCACAGTCACTTTGCATGAAGGTAGTAAAAAAAAAAACTCAACAAAAACAAAAACCACGGCTAACAGTGAAGCTCTTTTAAGCTACGACCGTGGCTAATCATTCACTTGCTCGTGCAGAAAACACAATATAACCAAACTAGCTTCAGTGCTAAAGCCAGTTCTAAAGTGGTTCTACAATGCAACCACTTTGTTTTTGTTGCTACACCAACCATTGTTTGATCCATCCTCCGCTGTTTTCTCAGTCTTCGTAGAGGTTCATTGCTCCAAAAGAAAGTTTAACTATTCAAATGATTTTGTGCATCCCATCATTCTGGATAGATCACCAGCTTAGTTTACTGATCCCGTTTCAAACAGGGGAGAGCAGCGACTGTGAACACTTAATCCTGACCTGCTGATATCTGATCAGTACCAACCGAGTTGTAAAAGGGATACATACACCATTTTGAGAAGGATTTATTTACTCCACCTGGCAATACAAAAGAGACCACAAGGAATCGGAGTTGGACATGTTTATAGATCCCATGGAAAGTGACACCAGAAAACATTCAGATGCTGGGGTCAGGGAAAGCAACATGGAAGCCATCCTATCTTGTATCAACGAGTCAGGCTGGTGGAGTGTTATGATGTGGAAATAATTTCCTTGCCACAGTTTAGGGTCCTTAAAGCTGAAGTAGGTAACTTTTATTTTTAAAAAAAAAAAGTGAAAAGAATAAATAAATAAATAAATGGAGCTCCTCTGACGTGCGATTCTACTGCTATCTGCAGAAATGCACCACTTGTTCAGAAACAACCAATCAGAGCCAGGAGGAAGGTCGTAGTCAAGCTCGCACACATGCTGCAGATGTGATTAAGTTGTGAAGAAACAACTTAATCTTACAGAAAAACTGTTCATCTGCCATTATTATTGTTCATGCTTACTAGCCTGCACATTCACGGCAGGCTCCGCTGCTGGAAAGAGCTTAAATGTGGCAGAGAGCAAGGGAGAGGATGTGAGGAGTGCATACATGACTGTGATTGACAGCACTAAGACCCTCCTCCTGAATCTGATTGGTTGTTTCTGGTGTATTTGTGCAGATAACAGTGCGGCCTTGGGAGAAGGTAGACGAGTTTGAGTTTTTCACAGGTTATAGTCTTATGTCACAATAAAAACAGTTTTACAAAAATATAAAAACAATTTTGATAAAACTCACCTAATGCAGCTTTTACAGCATTAAATGGTACCAGAGTACATGCTACAACAAACAAAAACTGGAAATTTAGGACCGATCAAAGCCAATAAAACATCCAAAAAATAGGCGTCAAGTTTTACTGACACCAGTCTTCATATGACCGGTACGTTAATATACCTGCATTGAGAAGAACGCACACAAAAAAATGAGCCGGCTGAAGAGCAGAAAGGCTGCTGGGCACAAATAATGAGGAAATTGAAGGATTATTGTAGACAGAGAGCAAAGATGGCGGAACTTAATTTGGACTGGTGAATAAAGGCTGAGCAAATGTGTGGGC